AGGGGCTGGATTTCCTAATGTGGGGCCTGGGTCCTTGAGGTCCTTCATTTCCCCCTTTTCTTTATCCGGGATATAATCTTATATCCATTGATCTACCTGCTCAGAGTCCGGCACTTGCTCAGCTGATGGCTCAGGGTGCTGTGGGAGTACTTGATATTGCTGCGCGAGGACCATAGTTTGGATTACAGACAGTTTTTCTTTTATAAATTGCATTAATTTGTTGAATATACAAGGTCCAAAGGTTAAAATTAACAGTAATATAATCAAGGGGCCAGCTACAGTAGATAATATAGTAGTTAGCCTAATTTTGAATAGGACCCCAGGGTCGTAGGCATTTTTGAAGTACATTTTTAGGCCCCATTGTTTTTTTTTATCCATTCCTTTGATGCCTTGCCTGCCTGAGTAAAGGTAATGTTTAAGGGGTTGCAGGCAAACGCGGAGCATGGCCCTGCCCCGTACCATTTTAGGCTCCTACAGGAGTCGGAAGATAGTGGGGGCTCTTGTCCCTTTTCTTTTTTACTTGTATTAAATCCCCAGATGAACCTGGCTTCCATCATATATCCCTCGTAGTTTTATATCCCCAAGATTTACAATAGTAACTTTCATGTTGTCCACATTTTTGTACCTGTGACTGGGTTTTTTTCATCCCTAGGGCATATGTAGAAGGGTGTCTCCCTTAGAGCTGCTTTACATCCTGTGGGATGTTCTACGCAGGTGCAGCGTCCACTGTAGATGCATGCTTCTGCCTCACTGGGGTCATCAAAGTCCTTTGCCTTAGCCAGCAGGTAACAAAGATCAGGCCTTAGAGCAGGTTACCAAGCCCAAAGGGGGTATTTTGTGGATGTTTGGTTTTAAATTATATCTCCTGTCCCCGATAATATTTGCCATGTCTGGCTCACAGTTTGGTTAGCAACCGTTAGGGGAAATACAAAGCACAAAGCAAGGAAAATCAACAGCGTGTGAGTCTTATCTTTAGTGGATTTTGAGTGCGTTGCAACTTTCATTCTGGATCCGGAGAGGTGCCTGCGGACTCCTGTGGATGTGCAGCTTTCACGTGGGAGGCGTGGATCCAAGCGGTGATGCCGTCCACTTTGACTGCAGTGGGAGTGGTCAGCAGAATGGTGTAGGGTCCTTTCCACCGCGATTCGAGGTTCTTGCTCTGGTGCCTGCGTACCCAGACGGTGTCTCCAACTTTGAAGGGATGTGGCAGCAAGGGGGTTTTAAGTTCCTCTTTGTATGCTGTGGCTAGAGGCTTCCAGACCTCGTTCTGGACCAATTGCAAAGCATGCAAATGAGTCTGCATAGATGGGGTGAGGGAGGCATAGGTTTCAGTTTCATAAAAGTTAACAGCGGGAGGTGGGGCACCGTACAGGATTTCAAATGGGGTTAGTCCATGTGGGCCTGGGGTGTTTCGGGCCCGATACAAGGCTAAAGGTAGGAGTTGTACCCAGTCTTTAGTGCCAGTTTCAAGCGTTAATTTAGTTAAAGTCTCCTTGATGGTTCTATTTATCTTTTTTTATCTGTCCTGAACTTTGGGGTCTATAAGCACAATGTAATTTCCAATTAATTTCCAATGTATTGGCCACCATCTGACTTACCTGGGAGACGAAGGCAGGCCTATTAAATGTTTTTTTTTTTTTTTTTTTTTTTTTGGTCCTCACTATCAGGATCAAAGGGAGTAAACCCCCGATAAGCCTCTTTTAATCTCTCTAAGAAGGCTGTCAGAGTTTCCTCTGACCCCTGGATAGTCTGTCTTACCTGAGCCAAATTAGTGGGCCGTCGCCCTGCTCCATGGAGACCCGCTATGAGTAACTGGCAATAGAGACGTAGGTGGTTCCTACCTGCTTCAGTCGCATAGTCCCAGTTTGGCCGGGTTAAAGGAAAAGCTTCGTTAATCAAATTTGCGAGTTGGGTGGGGCGCCCGTCGTCCCCTGGCACATTTTTGCGAGCTTCCAAGAGAACCTTTTGTTTCTTCTCTGTGTCTAATAGAGAAATTTTTAATTCTGCTACTTAGGGCTGGATAACCATATTAGCAAACATCAAGTCTACCTGCGTTGGCTAGAAATAAAAGCCTTAGACTAAAACTATTCTAGTAGTCCCTTTGACAGTTATCAGGCATTTCTGTCTAAGAATCTCTCTTGTAGCCTCCAGTCTACTTATTTATGGAAGTTACATTTAATTATTATTATTATTTAAGATGTCCAGGAACAGCTGTGCTTTGGCTTTTACTGTCTTTGCTAAGTGTTTAAGATGAAGCAAGTCAAACTGACTTTTATTTTTACCTATTGTTTACAGTCAGCTGAGTTATCCTGGGAGTCCTCGGGAACTTCATAGCAGCTTTTCAGTTCTGCTAGTGCCATTTGCGCTAGGATGGGTCCAGGCCTTGCTTGACCATATGGCTTCCCTCAGAAGCATCAGGGATGTCTCCCTTTTTTAATGATCCTCCTCTTTACAGCAAATGCACCGATTGGCTTCCTGTCCTCCACTGGTCTCATTAATCTCCTTGCTCAGGAGGTTATGTGGCCTAGAGTTGCTGAGCCCTTTGGAGAAGTTCCCTATTCCCTGATTCAGACTGACTCAGAGGGCAAGAGCCAAATATTGGTTTTTTTGGCCCTTTTAATTTAACTAATTTTAAAACTTGATCTTAAACATCCAGCAAATAAGTTAACAGCCTTATATTAAGAGCACTGGGCTTTAATGTTTATTTCTTTATCCTGTAGGTGATAACTCCTTGTCTTATGTTGGCCCAGGTTGTGTTCTTAAAGTAATACCTCTTTAAAATATTAATAGGCAATTTTTAAATCATCTATAAGTAAACTACAAAACAAAACTAACTAGGGTAAAAACATATTTAGCTTACATAATAGCTACCTTGAATTCTAGTAGGGTTATACATCATAATTTTCTGTTTGAGATCCTAGTAATCTTGGCACAAACCTATTTTTGGACACAACTTTAACTGTACTGAAATCTGGCTTACTTTTTTATAGCCATTTTCATATGTAGTGAGATGGGATAGAGCCTTATCTCAAGTAAGGCAGGGCTCTTTATAAATCTCAATTACTATAGTTCTGAAGCTGATCATTTTATAAAGTTTACATAAATTGTTGTTCAAGTTTACATGAACATTAGCTAACATAACATAATATCACACCTAAAACATGAATTAAAGGCTGAAAGCTTTTAACCTCTTATAGAAAAGTAGTGATGTACTTTTGTGTTTTGCAATAAAACCTTTACATTTTTTTTTTTAATTACCATATAACTTTAGAATACCAGCTTGATATAAGGTTCTTTCGAAGCTTTTACCTTACAGGCTTGTATACCTGGAAGATATGAACACATTAATAACACCATAATTATATAAACTTTTTTTTTGTTTACATTAAGTTATATTTTCAGGTTTAGATGTTGGAAATTATGATACAAATTTAAGAAGCAATTTTTAAAATTTAAAATTTTATATCTTTTTACATTAGAAAAACTTGTTCACATAAAACTGGAAATAGAATCTCTACCATCAGAAGAAATTTTTTTAGTACCTTTAAGCCACTTTGCTTGTTCTGAAGTTTCTAAAGTAGCATTGAGTTACATTAAATTTACTTACATATTACCATATATATCTGAAATTAAGCTTTGAAAAATTTTAAGACTATTGCTATTTAATTATCTAATGTCATTTTTATGAGCCAGACCAACGTTTTAATTTTTTTTTTTCAGGTTACCCAGTTCAAAATTGAAACTCTTTAATTTTTTTTTTTATTCCAAGTATTTAAGTTTTCTAGCATGAACTATCTGAAATCAAACTAAACAATTGCTTAAACCCAACTTTTAACTGCAAGATAGTGCAATGCTTTAGAACTATAGGTGTAAAATCAAGGGTCTCAGTGTGACTGGCTTTACTGCATTCAGTGTTCCTTCTTTTTAAGTAAATAGAGGTGGTGTAATCCTTAAGATGTAGATAAGGACCCAGGGAACTCCCCAGAGCTAAATGGCTCTGGCAGCTGCTGGGAGTCCCTTAATCTTATCTTTTATCCATAGGATTAGTTCCTCCAGTTTGGTTTGACCTTAGGCATTAGGCATTTTTGTTTTTCTAACTTTTTAGTAGCCAGCTCCCAAAAAGTTTATCCTCTGCTTATAGTTGTTTCGAGTGCTAGGCTTCCCCAAGAAAGCAGAGTGGGGACTCCTTAAAAGTCCCTTTGAGAGTGTCAAAATTTGTGACTGAAAATTTGGTTCTCATCTCTAA